AGGAAGGAAGGAAGGAAGGAAGGAAGGAAGGAAGGAAGGAGCAATGGGTGCTCAGAAAGAGATCATACCTATAAATAATGAGAAATTTCCTGACAGTTAGAACAATTAACCTGTGGAACAACTTGCCACCAGAAGTTGTAAAGGCTCCAACACTGGAAGGTTTTAAGAAGGGATTGGGCAGCCACTTGTCTGAAATGGGACAGGGATTCCCTGCTTGAGCAGGAGGCTGGTCTAGATGACCTCCAAGCTCCCTTCCAGCTCCGTTATTCTGTTATTTCCCTCTCCAGACCTTTCATGTTCTCTCTTTTCTTCCAAGGAACTGGCAAAGTATTTCCTGGCAGAGTTGCTCTCCGATCCCAACCAGCCGGACAACGAGGCCCTGGCTTCAGACGACCTGTCCCGCGGGGCCGAACAAGATGAGGTCAGGATGGAACTCGAGCGATCGGCCAACTTGAACCCGGGACTGACCCCTCGGGAGCGCAAAGCCGGATGCAAAAATTTCTTCTGGAAAACCTTCACTTCTTGTTAGCTTTCGAAATCTCCTCTTCCTCCCTCCCTCTCTTTCTCTCTCTCCCTCCCTCTCTCCTTTCTCAGTCTCTTCAAGCCAGGAGCTGAAGACTGTAATATAATAATAATAATGATAATAAAAAAGATATTGTTAAGGTAAACAAGGGGAAAAAAAAGAAGAAGTACCATTTGGTTTTCAAGCTGTTTTAATAAAGCTTTCTGTTTCAAATTGTATACCCCCTTCTGCAGTTTGTCATCTCTCTTTCTTGGGTGGGGCACATCAGCTGCTGCAGTTTGGCTGGTTGCAAATTCTTACTTTCTGGCAATAAAGCTTGTTTGCAAAGTATTTTCCTTGCAGCTTTTCTCTATGACTGATGGGTTGAAGCTCAGCCATCAATCAATCAATCAACCAACCCAATCAATAATCATCCAATATTGAAATTCAAAGCAAGAATATTTTTACCATTAAAAATGTCCTTTAACACAATAGAAAATCGAGCAAAATCCTTCAGATAACGGGTCTGAAATGAGGAAGGCCTCCTGCAATGATGGTTAAGAAGTTAACACCCAGGTTAATGTTTGTTGTGTGAA